TGAAGTACACAGTAAATTTGGGATTAAGTACACAGTACATTTGGGATTAAGTACACAGTAAATTTGAGATGAAGTACACAGTACATTTGGGATTAAGTACACAGTACATTTGGGATTAAGTACACAGTAAATTTGAGATGAAGTACATAGTAAATGTGAGTGTCTGTTCATCCTGCGAAGCGTCTGAACTTCGAAACAAAACAAAAAATAAAAGAGAACTGAAACGCACCTTTAACTGAGATTTGGAAACCTTTCCACGGTGATCCACGTCCAGGGCCGTGAACGCGTGCCAAATGGATTTCAAAAGCTCATCTCGAAGCCACATTTTGTCCCTCGCCAGCAGCACCAGACGTCTGTCTCCCAGCTGTAAATCAATCTCTGTGGTTTCACTGTCCGCCTCTCACACACAAACACAAGCGCGGTGACGGTGGCGCAGCAGAGAGACGTGTGATGATTGCGCCACATGGTGTTCGTTTAATTTATTTTCTTCATTTGAACTCTGACAAAACATTGTGAGCTGTTTTCCCATCATAAACTCAAAACCTCAAATTAAGCCATTCAAAGTTAGCTCCACCTCGATCAATTAACCATCTTACCACATTTAAATGCTTATGAATGCATCTGTAATAAATATGCATGTAATAATATAACTATGCCAAAGACTTCTGCTGCATAAGAAGGATTTTCACGTTTGGTATCGAACATGTTCTTAACATTTTATAATACTTCTGTTTTTTCTTTATCGAGGGAACATTTTAAAGGTAGGATTTGCACTCGCGTTGGAGTATCACATATGTATTGCTAATGTTGCTCTCGTAAAATATTTGAATAATTCTCCCACCAAAGCATCCTCATCCAATTTTAACAGGACACTATGAGCTACAATAACACCTTCAACTGAAACTAAAATTTTGCATTTTGGCCTTGTATTGTTTCGAGTAAATGTGTATGAATAGGCTACTTACTGATTACTGAATGTCCAATCATCCCTCAGCACACCCTGAATAGTTACATCATTCTTTGGAAATACCGGCATAGTTAACACGTTCTTCAGTAAGATTAAGTCAAATACATATCACTATCTTATTGACAGAAAGTTACAACAAGTCAAGTAAATTGAAGTGTTTAATTCACAGTGCCCTGACCAATGTGATAGCCTAACTATTTTTAACACTCTTTTGAAGATTGATTTAGTCAGTATGAATTTGATTATCTTAATCTCATTATGTTTATTATTGTATAGGTTTAGTTAGTTAATATGATATTTGTGATTCTCCTTTTTTGATTTGTTTATAATTATGCCATATTCAACAGAAAGTATAGGGATTTAACCTTCAATGGTGACAGAGGTCTACAGACAAAATGATGGACCTCACAACTAAGTATAATCTACCATAGATTCTTATAGCTGAAGATCAAGTTCTGTATTTTGGATTATGATCAGATGAGACATACAATTCAAATCTATCATATTTTTATAATATATAACTAATACTCTTCAGTTAAGTGCGTGAACACCTGTTGTGACCGTTTCATTGTTTGACGAATTAGTCAAAATGTTTATTTCCTTTTTTGGAATGAGGGCAACCAGCAGGGGGGTCACATTCCCTATGTCTTTAAAGCACTGTGCATAACATTGGGCAAATTGTACCAAAGTTACGCTGGGAACTACAATTCCCGAGGCTGTGCATTCGCCGCCGGATGTTCGTGCTGCACAAATTTGGCGCTGATCTATCCGGGTACTTTATTCACTGCTTCCTTTCGCGCCGGGTAACCGGAGAGCTGTGCGTCCATGTGCGCAGTGACTGGGAATTGCTAGACGTCTGAAATATAACAAAAATCCGAGCCGTAAGCAGAGTTTTCGTCATGGATCCTGAGTCTTTAGTCGAGGCCCTTCGGGGCACGATGGACCCCAATCTACGGGAGGCCGCGGAGAGACAGCTGAACGAGGTAAAAGTTGAGATTAGCCGTTAGTGGTGATGGAGGTAGTGGCGCGGTCCCAGGCCGGGCCTCGGCCGTTCACAACATCAAGATGGTGCGATCACGCAGGCTCTGCTACTGCTACTGTGACCGACCAACGGCTACATTCCGCTACTCGACAAGTAGCGGTTATACTTCATATTATGCCCTCGTTTCTATCACCAGCGTAGAGCCGTTAGTATGAATTCAATAGTATTTTTTATTTCGATGACACTCATGTTCCAGCAACCAGCGTTAGCTTCATGTTGAGCCAGCTGTGTCGCTAATGCTAACCCAGCTAGCGCCTCACGCTCCGCTAAGGAGCTCATTATTAGCTCGTCACACACAGTTTTTGGTATAGTTTTGACTGATTTCGGAGCTGACACGACACAATAATACGTTGACAGGTGTGATAAACAACAAGTGAAGCAACCTGAAACGTGGGGCATGTGCTAGTTAGCGTATTTAACAGCAGGACACTGAGTCCTAGCCGTGTGGCTAATGTCGGCTAGCTAACTTAGCTTGTTGGGTGAGCTGCCATAGCTCCACTACATAGCTGCTGCTCACGTGTCACTGTGACAAGCCCTGAAGTGATGACATTATTCAGCAACGCAATAACATTTTCGCGGACCAACAATTTCGTCGTTGCTTGCCGTTGCCACATTTAATTAGTGATAGGTGACTTTATAGCTACTTAGTAAAATATATACAATTTAAGTTTTACGTTAGCATAGTTCCACGTGAGCTACTGTTAACAGAGTTAGCAACTCTGTTGGAAAAAAGTTCTCTCTCTCTCTCCAGTTATGCTTTACTTTTTAATTTTTAGTATGTTGCTTATCGCTGAACTTTAGAGTGTTTATAACATTTGGTGTCGTCTGCAAGCTTATGTAACGTTACTCTGTACAAATGAACTCTCACACAGGTTCAATAGCTGAGATTGAGACTGGACTTGGTAACTTTGACTACAACTTAAACTATGGAGTCCTCTCTTGTTTGACACATAACGTTATGTATAATAAAACAGAAATTAATAGTTTCCCATAAATGTCTATCAGTTAGTATGGACGTCCTAAATATATGAACTTAGAGCCTTCATGTCATGATGCTCACAGATTGTTTTTATCACCTGTATTGATCATAAGTACATGCAGTCCTTGAATTGTTTGTTTTGAAGCCCGATTTTGAGAGACTACTTACAAATCTCAGAACCACAGCTCCACTCTCTCTATCTGTGCTGTTAATCACTGTGTGACATTTATCACAAACGAAGGCCTATTTCATGTTTCATATTCAAGTGATGATAATCCCGGCATAGCACATGTGTGGAGTGTGTTTTTCTTCTTCCTCCATGTTTATTTTTGGCAGTGGCATTTGTCTTGGGCTGGTTTTTTGTTACACCCACACATGCATTGATAGTAATGGCTCACTTGAATGGCGTAGCTTGGAGAGTATTCCTACACAGCTGGCTGGAGTTATTGGAGTTGTGTACAGAACAAAAAGTCATGTCTACTGGAGGAGGATGGAGTAAATCTGTCGTAGTGCATGTTTTCTAAATACAGCGCTTTGCTTAGTCATAACTCCGACTTTGTTTTTTCGTGGAAAATGGCCAGATAAAAATTGAATAAGGCTCGACAATATGTTGAACCAACCAATAGCAGCTTTAGTTCTGTAAGGAGACAATAGCCCAGAACTATATGGGCTGTCAACCTTATTTTTAAAATAATGTAACAAGGCAAAACATTATTCATCAATTTCAAAATATTAAGCAATAGTGATTGTGCGACACCTGTAAGCTAAACATAATGTGTGCTGAACTTGTCTAAAATACAACCTCCTGGCTTAATAACTCCAAGTAGGGTTCATATGAAACCTACTCTACACAACACTGTATGAACAATGTGATTCTTAATGTTTTCAGTGTTTTCTTACCGCTTTACATTCAGCTGTTCTCATTTCTGATTTTCAGGGTCACACCCAGGTCAACTTTGTGTCCACACTGCTGCGTGTCACCATGTCTGATCAGCTGGATTTGCCTGTCAGACAAGCAGGTGAGTCTAGACCGTGGCTTGAGAAAACAGTCCTGTAGTCTGTGAAAGATGATCTTTATATAAAACTAGATGCAACATAAAACCCCCTCTGCATATCTTATTCATCTTAAGTGTTACAGTGCTCATTGATTTAGAGTTTCTATTTGAGTGAAAACAACGGACTTGCGCTTTGATTTGGCAGCACTGTGTTGCCTCCTTCAGCGAGCCACCGTGACTTAAAAGACATTTATTTAAATTAAAGTCTTCAATGTTGCAGTTTAAAATAATCACGAAAAATAGGGATTTAGTCCCTGCTATCTTCTGGTAGCTTAAGGAGTGGGACCATTACTTCTTTACAGTCAACTGACTTGACTTAAAGCTGAGATGGAGATTGAAAACACTAACTGAGGGTTAAGGTGCTGCCAGATGTGACCTGTTAAAAACGCATCTTACAGGGAAAACAACCTAATTAATTAAAAGATATTCTCCAAAACTGTCTAAAAGCAATTACACTGGTTTGCTAATGACATTTCAAGACATTTATCAGAGGGTTGAATGTTAATTAATGACCTTCATATGCTAGGACTTTGCAATTGCGACTGAGATTAAATCTCCAAATAAAAATCCAGAATTAGATTGAGATAGATTTTAAGACGTAGAAATAATTATTCGTGAAGCTGGATGAATACTTCACCTTGTCATCAATGCTCCAAACTATAAAGCGTACAAAATAACACTTGCTGAGGAAATTAAGTTGTCCTTTTCTATTGTCAGTGTTGCTGTTATGTGGGTTGACGTTTCGGCACTGTGATCTACCACTTTGCATCGGACTCCAATTTTGTCCGATTGCGTTACGTGAGAAATAGACTAGATATTCTCCACGATCCCAAGTTAAACAGGTCACTTATATAATAGTTTCTGAAAAGATCATTTAGCCGTGTTACATGACTCCCACTTGTGTTCTTGTGTGGCTAAAGTGCCTCGCTGAAGAGCAGTGGACATGTGGAATTTGTTAAATATAGCTTGTTTTGCTTCAGTCAAATGCTGCTCTGTGAGGAAGGTGTCAAGGGAGGGAAACATACGTGTTCAAAGTGAAATTCATGACCACAAGTTGTTGCAAAAAGTACACGGATAGCATCTGAATCGTTGTGTGTCCACCTCAAGTATTCATAGCTGTAGCAGCAAATTAAGCCGATAAAGAGCTGTGCTATGGTGCAATGAATTACTTTTCCATCTGTAGGAAAAATGTCTTGACAGTGTTTAAAGCAGAATAGAGGAGGAGTAGCTCCTCAGACTGCACTGATGCTGTTCTGAATCAAATTAGCTGACGGTAAATTAATTCAAGCTGACGGTATGGACTCGGTTTGGACTCTCTCCAAGTTAACGGACGGATACCAAGAATAGCTCGAGGCTCCTTGAAGGATTCCTTTGTGATTACGTCCGGTTTTCAAAATAAGGTGGTAACAAGGGTAGATACAAACTGGCTTATATATATTCATTATTATATTCAAAAGAAGTATACCTTTTTTTTTTTTTGCCTGTATCCCTTTATGCATTATAAAGAAAATACCACAAAGTTGTGAGGTTAATTTCTATTGTCTTTGATTTTTGTGTTGCTGGAAAATAAAGAATCCCTGGCAATGACCGATAATTTGAGTTGTAGACGTCTCTGACGACATGCAAACACGAAATCAAGAATTTGACTCAATTATGAGATTTTCCATCGTAAAATTCACACATTTCTGGTGCGAAATGGCTTCATTTCAGAACACTATAAAAACACATTGCTCCATTATTTCTGAAAATGGTTGATTTTTGACTTCAGGACATCTCTCACTACATACAGCAATGACTTCACATCTGAAATGTAGCTATTTCGTGGTAGAAATATTGAAATTTAATCTCGAAATTGATAATAATTCTTGATCTTGTGTCTATGTAGTGAGAGATTTCTTGTCATTATCCAGAATAATTCATTTAATTATGTTTTCATTAAGTTGTTTTCCAGCAGCCGAAAATCTAAGAACAACGACATTTCCCTCATCATTTTGTGGTGTTTTTTAAATTAATTTTTAAGGTGTACATGTAAAATGTTTTATACCGCTTGTGAATATAATCCATTTAATATTACTGCCACATGTATTCTGTATGTATCCTTGTTAGCACCTTATTTTGAACGGATGAAGTCACACGAGTATCCTTCTAACTTCACCAAGTCCGTCGCTAGCTGTCAGCTCCTTAGACTGTACATGGTATTTATATACAGTCTTCTTTACAGTTTATGGTCAGCTGGATCTGGGTCGATTTAAGGCATTTACTATGAGTGTCGGTATATGGGTGAGGTACAACTTGAGTGTCAGCTGATTGGACCATGGAGATGCATGCTGGCATTGTACTCTGATCTCTGAGAAACATTTTAAGTAATAAGAGGAAACGACCCTTTGTTGACGACAAATTGATTATATCGTTATTCTGAGATGACATTTTAAAAACATGTTTGAATCATGTCCGTTTAGGGCTACATTATCTTAACTTATTGTTTTGGCACTTAGTCGATACACAAGTCCGTCGGATTGTTATGCGTGTAGCTCCTGTCTGGCTTGATGTTGGAAAGCAGGCCAACATTAAAAAAGTGCTGTCTCTGCTACGATCATTTCATTTTATTGGCGCTTACTACATATCTTCAGTGAATAGATGATCAAATGCTTTCATCAAAGTGGTTTTATAACAGGCAGCATCATTGAATGTGGGTTTGAGTTGTTTTTGAATCCGTATTGGCAGCATGTCCGGTACATGAGGCGTTTTTGAGATCTCTGCTTCTGAGGTTTTTGCTGCCAAATGTGTTTTGTTTTTGTTTTTGATTTTAAGGTCATTTAAAATAGTTAATTCACGAGAAACACAAATTGTTCAGATGTTATATTAGAGAGTGGCTAATCAGAATAGCTGAGTTTGTTAAGCACCACTGTTATCATACCTGAAGTCGGTATTTCACCACATTTATATGGCCATTTTATTTTTGGTTTAGTTTGTCCTTTTCTACCATATGTTGGCCTCTCGGCAGTTTCATTCAGGTAGTCATTTTCCTCCTGTCCATGACTCTAATTTACGCGACTGATTCCTCGTGGCTTTGCAGCGCTGGGTGATAGTGTAGTCTGGTGGTCATAAGGGGAGGGGGTTTGTGCTCTGTCAGCATTGATAGGCTGGATTATGATTGCCTCGCTAGCGGTGTAGACGTTTGTGTCAGCAGTCTGACGTTCGCCTCAGACGGCGCTCCCTGTGAGCCACAGGACTCGCAGCGGGGCCCGCATTGTGGAAGTGAACCCGACTCCCAGCCTGGTGCCACATTCAGAACTACAGATGGAAGAATTTATTTGATGTAAATGCAGTCAATATGATTTGTTAACATTTGGGAGTCGCATGAGGTTGTGCACCATGTATGGTTTTTAAAATTCCATACATGGTGTTCAACCTTATCTGCAGCTGCTTTACATCAGACTATCAATCACTTGCACTGGTGTATACAATAAGTTGCACATGAGTTCTCTCTCTCTCTCTCTCTCTTTCTCTTTCTCTTTCTCTTTCTCTCTCTCTCTGAGAATTAAGATATTTAATCGCATGGATTTTTTGCGATTAATTGCATTGTTATGGCCAAGTGCAATAACATTTGGTTTGCAAACAGTGCTTTTTAACAGCAGTATTCCCTTTACACAGTAGCAGTTCTATCTGTGCTCAGTGTGCTGACTGTATGTGAAACGTTCCACTGCTGTGCAACAGGAATACAATGTTTCAGCACGTTTCAGCTAAATGTGTCTTCATGACAGTCGGAGCATGTGAATGCAGCTCTACTGTTCATCAATATAATGCCGTAACTCCAAGGTGATGATGGTTACCCAGCGATGTCCAGTAGTCTCCAGTGAGGGCAAAAGCTGCTGCACGTTGTAACGCCGTCGCTTTAGTCGTCCTCTCCTTTAATACAACTCGCGTATTCTTCTTGTGATGGTGGTCGATGATGGCGTCTTGAGGGAGGCTCATACGTGCCGGCATTCGTTGCGATCCTAAAGCTGCGTTCACAGCGAACGCACCTTGAGAACGTTCCTCAGACCGACATCTTCCACAATACTAATCGGCTGCAGTTTGTATCCACTTCTGTGTAGCATTAGTTAGCTTGTCTTGCTTTTTTTTTAATCTATATTTCTCCCACACGCTGCATCAACGTATTCTGCCGAAGACTTCCTCCACCGCTGCCAGTGAGCAACGCACTTTCAAAATAATGTAACGGACTGTCTCACCCAGTCGAGGAAACTCTGTAAACGGAGCAGGCAGGTCTACATGGATATCCCTGCTGGCCGACCGTCTGCCGAACAGCCCTGAGCTGGGCTTCAACGGGTCTTCATCTCCAATCTACATCCTGTACTTGAACCATTGTCACTTTTCTCTCTGAAGTGCCGCGGAGTTAGCCTGCTAGCTAAACTGAGACAGATAAGCTAAGAAAGTGCGCAGTCGCCGAAGCGTAAAATAGTCGTAGTGGTCCGTAGTCTATATTTTATTTTTTTGTACTGTTAAAGGGCTGACCCTTGTGGTGTTCTCTCTGTCTAGGTGTGATTTACCTGAAGAACATGATAACCCAGCACTGGAGTGACGGCGACGCTTCAGTCACAGAGACTCCTGCTGTCAACAACATCCCAGATGAGGACCGGCTGTTCATTCGAGACAACATAGTGGAGGCCATCATTCACTCCCCCGAGCGCATCAGGTAACCACACTTACACATTGCAGGTTGAGTAGAGTGAGAGGAGCTCAGGAGATTTTGTTTTTCATCAGTTTGTCTAAATTAATCAATCAAAACATGTATTTTTTTGAACTCGTCAGAGTCCAGTTGACGACATGTATCCACCACATGATCAAGCATGACTACCCTGGCAAGTGGACGACCATCGTGGACAAGATTGGCTTCTACCTGCAGTCAGACAACAGTGCAGGATGGCTGGGCATCTTGCTCTGCCTTTACCAGCTCGTCAAAAACTACGAGTAAGTCAGGGTTCTCAATCTAAACTTTATTTTGTATTGTAGCACATGACATGGGGGGGGTTAACATTGTGCTATTGTGAAATAGATATAAGAAACCAGAAGAGCGTCAACCTCTCGTGGCTGCCATGCACATCTTCATGCCCATGCTGAAAGAACGCTTTATCCAGCTCCTCCCCGACCACTCCAGTGACTCTGTCCTCATACAAAAACAGATCTTCAAGATCCTCTATGCCCTCTTCCAGGTAATGTCACCGCTCATGGCATCTTCTCTTAAGGGGGGGGGGGGGGGCTTAAGAAGAAGAATAAAAACTTGTTTGTCTTTTTCTTTATAAAGATTTGTTTTAAAAAGCCTTTCAATAGTTTTGCTCAACCAGTACCCGCTATAACGTGGACGGTAAAGGTGCAGTCACAGTCATGTTATACCTTACAGTAGACGTTGACACTGTCATGTTGAACATCGGTGTGGGCATGCTGTCTGAAATCACACACCGGGCAGGCATTACGCCGCCGTTGTTTGGTTCAATGGGGAAAAGCAAAGTCGGCGTAATGGCAGATCTTATTTACAGCAGTATTGCGCAATCTCTGTGTTTTGAAAAGCACAACTTCTTTTAATAAAATAAGTATTTTAGTCTTAAATCTGTGACCCCTTTTGGTGTGAACATAACTCAATGTTTGGTGTAGAAAGATGTATCCTTAAAAACGGACTTGTTCATCTCCACAGTACAACCTCCCTCTGGAACTCATCAACAGGCAGAACCTGACGGAGTGGATGGAGATCCTGAAGACAGTAGTGGATAGAGATGTGCCTCCGGTACGGAGACACAATTCATTCATACTCCACCAATATTGCCAATTACTCCTTACAAATGATTTGTTTGTCCAAGATGTAAATATTTGAGTTATCCACAAGCTGACTGTGCTAACGCTGTTTTTGGTTTGTGCAGGAGACGATGCAGGTAGATGAAGATGAGCGACCCGAGCTGCCGTGGTGGAAGTGTAAGAAGTGGGCCCTTCACATTATGGCTCGTCTGTTTGAGAGGTAAAAATCTATACACTTTTCTCTTACCTTTTTTTATTTTTTAGTAAAACGTACAAACCTGTTTAACGTTTGCTATATTAAACCATCTGTCCAGGTATGGAAGCCCAGGCAACACAACAAAAGAGTATGCAGAGTTTGCTGAACTTTTCCTCAAGGAATATGCAGTTCCTGCTCAACAGGTAAGGATTTCAGAGGACGTAATGTAAGCAGCAGCTCTCCAGTCGGACTGAACGGTGTCTTTTGAAGTGCACCTCACAAGTGTGTAAGGAATTTCTTTGTACATCTGTCTACTAGGTGCTGCTGAAAGTCTTATACCAGTTCAAGGAAAAGCAATATGTGGCTCCCAGAGTACTCCAACAGACACTCAACTACATCAACCAGGGCATAGCACATGCTCTGACGTGGAGAAACCTCAAACCACACATCCAGGTACGCATAGAACATGTCTAAATATCCTTAAAATGACAACTCTTAGATGGTAGCTGTGCAGTAACAGCACTGTGAAACTATCTTTTGATGGTCTAGTTGTCCCCAGTAGAAGCATGAAGCTAAAGCGCTGCCAATATGTACCGCTTCAGCCAACATCACTCCCCGATTGTGACTCTTTATTGTGTTTTTTCAGGGCATCATTCAGGATGTGGTCTTCCCCCTCATGTGTTACACAGACAGTGATGAGGAACTGTGGCAAGAGGATCCGTATGAGTACATCCGCATGAAGTTTGGTAAGCAGAGAAAGTTGATGCCTGCCATTAACTTAAGAAGTATTATTGTGTACTTGTGATGGCCAATCATTTATCCAATCTCTGCTGTCTCCCTTAGATGTATTTGAGGACTTCATCTCTCCAACAACAGCAGCCCAGACACTCCTCTTCACTGCCTGCAACAAGAGGAAAGAGGCAAGTTGAATGTTTTTGTTTTTTTTGGTTAATTCAGTTCGAAGAACTGTCCCTACAATTCATATTTATCGAGGCTTAATCCGGTATGCTCTTGCTGTGTTTAGGTGCTACAAAAGACAATGGGCTTCTGCTACCAGATTCTCACTGATCCCGCCTCTGACCCCAGGAAAAAGGATGGTGCCCTCCACATGATTGGCTCTTTGGCTGAAATCCTTCTGAAGGTAAACGCCTCTCAGCCAGCTTGATAGCACCACCTCTTTGACTTTTCATCTTTTCTACACAGAGATTATAAAACCTTTGTTTCCTTTCAGAACAGAACAGGTTTTGAACATTGAAACATTTTCACCGCACCTTGCTGTTTGTTTTTACCATGACAGGACAGCCCTCGTCAGCATTCAGCTGGAAATTATGATCTAACAGGGGCAAGAGATAGATTTTCACCTGGAGTTAGTATGTTCAACAGATCAAAAGTCCCTCTAATATCTATTTTATATCGCTCTGAAAACACCCCTTTTAAACTGATTTACTAAAGTTTCTCGCCAAAAACATTTTACACGACCATAATGTGACTCATGCAAACTTCGTTAACCTTAGCTCTGTTATTTCGCCCAGCAGAACGGGTAACGGCAATGTTAACTAGCTCTTCTTCTGCCAATTTCAACTCGGGTTTGTTGTTGATAATGTAGCATTCATTATCAGGGAAAAACAGGGCGTGTCCCCAAAGGTTTGTTAGCGCTGCTAAGTATCCTCTGTGCCATGGTGCCAGTCAATGCATCCATGCTCCACTCCCAAACAAACTGAAACATGATGCATGTTAACGGAAAGCATCAGGAAGAGGAATCAAGAGCCACGGAGGAATCTGACCAGGAACAGATTCTCGATTCCCATCCCTAATCTGAACCGTTTCTAGAACGTATCCAACAAAGTTGTGGGTGATTTTTATTTGTGTTAAAGTTAGAAAAGGTAAACATACCGGATACTTGATGTGTTTAACTGTCTTGTGAAACTTGACAGTTTTTATTTCTTTCTCTCCACAGAAAAAGATTTATAAGGACCAGATGGAGTTCATGCTGCAGAATCACGTCTTCCCCCTGTTCCGCAGTGAACTGGGCTACATGAGAGCCAGAGTAAGTGATCATGCCCAAACAGGCAGACCTAAGACTTGGCATGATGGAATAAAGTGGCTTTGAATTGACACAAACTTGTTTTATTGACTCAGTGCTTTGCTTTTTGTTTTTCCTTAACCTCCATTTTCACACAGGCCTGCTGGGTGCTGCATTACTTCTGTGAGGTGAAGTTCAAAAGTGACCAGAACCTGCAGACCGCTCTTGAGCTGACCCGCCTCTGTCTAATCAATGACAACGAGATGCCGGTTAAGGTGGAGGCTGCTATTGCCCTGCAGGTTCTCATCAGCAACCAGGAGAAAGGTGAGCAAGTCATGCCGCTGGTGTTCTACCGACGGCATTTCATACACAATCGTTCTTCTATGAAGTTTGTAGTTTTCTTTGAGTGTCTGAATTAACTTGTGCGTTTTTATTCTTCAGCCAAAGAATACATCACCCCCTTCATCCGGCCAGTGATGCAGGCACTCCTGCACATCGTCAGGGAAACGGAAAACGATGACCTCACCAATGTCATACAGAAGATGATTTGTGAATACAGCGAGGAGGTGACTCCAATTGCAGTGGAGATGACGCAGCACTTGGTAAGTGCAAAGCAGTAAAAGACGCTACATGTTAATGTTGTCATTTCACATAATGCCATCACTCGGTGCCTTGATAAACTTCCCCCGTGGCTGTAATGTATGAGGAGACCTATCCTAGGAGAAAAACAAATGTTGAAAATGAGCTATACTGCAGATGAAGTACAGGCAGCCAAGATAATACTCGCCCACTGACTAATCCAAAAGGAGACAATGATCTGGTTTTCTCTAAAACTGTAATGTGCCAGACAATAATGGCAACTACATATCCACGTTAAGGTACCAGGAATGTAATTGTCTCGACAAAATGCCAGAGAGCATGTTTGCTTATCTTCTCTTGAGCCACCAGAAGTTTGTTAAAACTTGTGCAGTCAGTTGCACAGCAGTTCTTCGTCATTTTAGCAGTTTTTTTTTGTCATGTGAATGCACTGATTGCAGATGTTCCCCTCTCAGAAAGCGACTGTGGACACAATCATAATAGTCTCTGTGTTTGTTCTTTGTCAGGCTATGACGTTCAACCAGGTGATTCAGACAGGCCCTGATGAGGAGGGAGGAGATGACAAGGCGGTGACGGCCATGGGCATCCTCAACACCATTGACACATTGCTAAGTGTGGTGGAGGACCACAAAGAGGTAAGCAGCATATAGCACTAGGCGTGCTGCCCTCACGCACACACACAGTCTTCAGGCCAATCACTCATCTCGGTGCCACTTCCTCTGCAGAAGCAGCTCTGATCTGCTGTAGAGTTCCTGCCAACACACTTCAGCCACCCACCAACTCCTGGGAACACGCTCTGTTCTCACTGTGTTCAAAGTGACTCAGACGCTGAGGCAGACGCTAGATATATCGCCACCATGTCTGATTAAACACAGGAGTGCTTGTGCTCGAAGCCATTGGATTTGACCAAGCATTACTTTACACTGAGGATAATTAACTCCTTGATGATTCAACAGTTTAGTTTTCAGTGATACGTCAATGTATGTCACTTCACTACAAAGAACTGGAATCACTTTTATTTGACCAATGAATTGGACATTACAGGATTGAAACACCAGGTACATGAAAAACATTAATGGAGACGAGGTGCCTATCCTTGTTGCTTCTAGTTGATTTGACTCAAAATGTAGTATGGCTGGTTGGTTGTTATTGAATCAACATTCAGTTTTATAATGTTGCATTACAGACATTTGGTTAAAATATGTTTTAAAACTGTTTTTTTACTGGTTTGAAGTTGTCGGCAGCATACTGTGTATGCATCAACATTAATTATGAGTTATTTTCAGACGGAGAAGCTCTGTGAGCATGCGCTGCACTGTCTCAGATGCTGAAATGCAGCGGAGGAGATCGATAGACAGTATCAGCAAAGCCAGGTCTTTTCTATTATGTTGGAACAGGCTACATGTCTGTTTATAAGCCTACAAATGAGCAAGTTCGTTTTTCTGGGATATTGCAGTAATTTGTTAGATGTGATTATTGTACTTTTTGTAGCTGTTTTCATTTTAATAATAAAAGGGAAATCCTGGAAGTACAATTTTTTTTTTTTTTTCTTTTTTTTTTTATCCTCATTTCTCATTAGACACCAACAGCAAATCTCCTCTCCCATCGCTCTTTTATTTTTAACTCGAGCTCGATGGCTGCAACGGGATGCTCCGTGTGTTTGTAGTACAAGGAACATGCTGTTCTGTATTTGATGAAGGCAGCTTTATCTTCTATGTTATGTTGATTTAAGTCCTCATTGCCTTTAACCCTCGTGCTGTTTCAGATCACCCAGCAGCTGGAGGGCATCTGTCTGCAGGTGATCGGCACTGTCTTGCAGCAACATGTACTGGGTAAGCAGGTCCATCCACATTCCACCAGCATGTTGCACTACAACTGTCTGTCGGCCTTTGAGACTATTGATAAACAGACTATATTTACCTACAGTGACTCACTTGTCTTGACCTTTTCTTTTCCCAGAGTTCTACGAGGAGATCTTGTCCTTGGCTCACAGCCTGACCTGCCAGCAGGTGTCGGCACAGATGTGGCAGCTCCTTCCACTGGTGTATGAAGTCTTCCAGCAAGATGGATTTGACTACTTCACAGGTGTGTGTGTGTGTGTGTGTGTGTGTGTGTGTGTGGCTGAGAACTAGATTTTAAGTTGTAAAATAAAAAGGATCATTAGTACCGGATCCATACTCTGTAACAGCCAATTTTCAATAATATAATTTAGCAAACTCGGTAAACTCAGCTGTGGGAAAATGTTTCTGTTTCAGATATGATGCCGCTTCTTCACAACTATGTCACAGTGGACACAGATACTCTCCTATCTGACACCAAATACCTGGAGATCATCTATAGCATGTGCAAGAAGGTACAATGATGCAATTGATAGTGCATTATGTGACGAACTGTGTTTCCAGCTAATTATTTGAGGTGATTGGTGTGTATTAGGAGGTTCACCTGAGTCTGTCACTTCACTCAGGTGCTGACAGGTGATCCTGGCGAGGACCCAGAGTGCCATGCAGCCAAGCTACTGGAGGTGATCATTCTGCAGTGCAAAGGTCGAGGCATTGACCAGGTCAGTATCTTAACAAGTTTACACCTCAAACTAGTTAACTGTAAAGCTACAACCAGAAAAGTAAAGTAATAGCAAGTTTATCTTCAATAGAGCTCAACGGTCTGTTGTTGCAGGTCGTGCCGTTGTTTGTGGCTGCTGCGTTGGAGCGTTTGACGCGGGAGGTGAAGACCAGCGAGCTGAGGACTATGTGCCTGCAGGTGGCTATCGCCGCACTTTACTACAGCCCCCCTCTTCTCCTCAACACTCTGGAGAACCTACGCTTTCCAAACAACACGGAGCCTATCACTAACCACTTCATAACTCAGTGGCTCAAAGATGTGGACTGCTTCCTTGGGTAAGGGTTTCATGAGTATTTCAACAGTGTAAATAAGCACTCGAGTACACTCAGTCCTGACTGTTAAAAGAGTTTCTAAATCTGCCAATGCATGTCTTGAGCCTGCTATTAATCATATTCAATGTCATACTTTTCAAATGTATGAACTATGGCTGCAACTACTGTAACTTTGTTTTGCCGTTAATTATTTGAAGATGTTAAATGCTGGTCTCTCGGGCTCTTTTGTTCAGTCGGCTAGTAACAGAAATTTCACAACTGTTAACAAAAAGTTTTGTGTTCCCCTTGCTCCCCTCAGCCTTCATGACAGGAAGATGTGCATACTTGGAATTTGTGCGCTCATTGACCTCGAGCAGAGGCCTCTGGCTGTCAACCAGGTGGCCATCCAGCTTCTCCCAGCAGCCATCCTTCTGTTCAATGGCCTCAAGAGGGCGTATGCCTGTCGAGCGGAGCACGAGAATGACGAAGATGATGACGATGAAGATGGGGAGGACGACGACGAAAACAACGGTAGGTTAATAGTGTTGATATATTCAGTGTTGCATCAGCCAAGTTCAGTATTCCTCTGCAAGGCGAGTGTATTAACGTGTTCCCTTGACTCTGAATGACTGCAGCCGAGCTGGGCAGTGACGAGGACGACATTGATGAAGAAGGCCAGGAGTACCTGGAGATGCTGGCGAAGCAGGCGGGAGAGGACGGAGACGACGAGGACTGGGAGGAGGATGATGCTGAGGAGACGGCACTCGAGGGCTACACTACAGCTGTAGATGATGAAGACAACCTAGTGGACGAGTATCAGATCTTCAAAGCCATACTACAGAGTAAGAGGACCGCCTGCTGATGTGAAAGCTTGTGATGAGCAAAATGAGATTTAAATAGCTTTGTGAAACAAGTATGGATCACTAATCGTACTTTACTGTGATGCAGATATCCAGAGCCGTGACCCAGCATGGTACCAGGCACTAACACAGACCCTTGACGAGGATCAGGGCAAACACCTTCAGGACATTGGCACACTTGCAGACCAGAGACGGGCAGCACATGGTGAGCGTCTGCTGAGACTGCAATCCAAATTTCCAATTAAACTCTGATGCGGCACTTCAGTCTGACAATAAAGCAAATTGTTTTTTACATGCTACTACTATTTCCTGCTTTTTTTTTTATTGAGTTCTGTTGGGTTTTTTTTTTTTTTTTTTTTTTTTTTTTTAATTTTAAATGTTCTTATAAATGCAATTTCATCGAAACATTGACCTGGAGTAAAATAACTAGTATTCATAGCCTTTATCCAATTACACTATACAGTCCAGCATGTTGCAATCAGCCACCTTTGTGCCTTTTTTATGGGCACTAAGATATGAATCTGGGATGATTATTTAAGAAATAGAATCGTAATTAAATGTTTGTTAAAATCCAAGTTCAATTGTAAAATGCCAATACACTGTGGATCGTTCTGCCTGCATGGCTTTTGTTAACGCTTGTGGCCTAAAGTGTAGGAGCTGTCGAAGAACCCCAGTGTCCAGTGTTTGAGTGTGTTGTTCCCAATATCTCTCCTCATTCCTGTTATCTGTCTGACGAATAATAAAGTCATAAAATGCCCCAAAACGCGTTGGATCACACTGTGTGGCACCTAGTCTTGTCTCCAAATGCTGTTCCTGTGTTCTGTGGACAGGGAAGAGATTTAAAAGCCTTATTCACGTGGCGACATGTCGTCTGTCTCGGGCCGGTTGAAAATGGCCAACTTTTAGGGGTGGTCTAGCGCCAGCTGTGTACATGAGCAGTAAACAAGACTTCCCGTGAGGTCACATCTGTGGTTTTTAAGCACTGTTGCTTGTTATCTTATTGCAGAATCCAAGATGATCGAGAAACACGGCGGGTACAAGTTCACAGCGCCAGTGGTGCCATCTACTTTCAACTTTGGAGGCACTGCTCCAGGAATGAATTGAGTCATCCGTTCTACTTTTTATTACTCTGTGACTGATTGTAGTGAAGTGAAAAAAAGCTTGTGTTGTTCCCTTAAGTAGTGGTTCCAGAACTGGTTCTTCTCAGTCATTCTTCAATCTGTCAAACGGGGGAAATAGCGCCGGAAGATGTGGGAAAGCAACTAAAATGCAACCAATGGCTGGGGAAAACAAACCAAGAACTTGAGCACGATGCAGGAGAAGAAGCTCTGAACAACGTTGTCTTCTGGAGCCCAATGTGGTGGGGATACCATGGCGGCAACTCTTTTGTTTTTTTTTCCCACTTAAACAAATTTGGGGGATTGACAGTTAGAAATTGATGATGGGACTAAATATTTCATTATCACTGTTGTGGCCAAATGGCCGTAATAAGATTATACCTCTGGTAGTGGTGATATCTACATTATTTTCTGCATAAACAAACGCTCATGTTTATGTACATACAAGCCAAGGTTATTGATTTTTCAAGTAGCCTTGAAAAACCACCAGAGGCATTTGTAAGGTGTTAACAGCTGTATTCATATGTAGCATATTGGATACTTCATAGCACTATGTGATGCCTGATCTCTGTAAATTAATGACTAGCACTTTCATATTGTTCAGGTATCCTAGCCTTCTGTATCAGACTGCAAATTTTTTAAATTGACTATTTAAAGTGATAAACAGCTGTAACTTTGTTACTTTGCAAGCGACTTCTGTAACGGCTGGTTGTCAAGCATCTGGTTACAGAGTGGATCAGTGAGCAACTCGGAAACTATTGATTTCAGGAAAAGGAGAGGATGCTCTTGGTGTTCAGTGTGGCTACAGGACATGTTTGTGAGCACTGAAAGTACAATTGAATACATCATTGAAGCGTGTACAATTGGACTTATCGTGAAGGTCTCAAGCTTTTGGTTGGTGTATGGATGAACCATCTATATATACACAACATATTAAAAAAAAAAAAAAAAGGCTGAGGGATTCCATGACCCCGCGTGTTTCCTTATACAGGCGTATGTATTTTCCTACTTTATAAGTAAGTGGTTAATATTTTCAGATGACTTTTTGTAAACACAAGCCTGGTTCCACGTAGCGACTCTGAAGCAAAGATGTAATCAAAGGATCACAGTGACAACTTGATTCTAACGTTTCCGTCGCGTCCGAGACGAGCAGCCCGGTGAGTTGTCCAGCAACATGTAGAAAGACATAACGGGCGCTGGACAGAGGATATGACGGCACTGCAGTTTTACGGAGCCCATAATCGATGCTGAATAGGCCTTTACTTTCAAAGAAAACACTGGCATGTCTCTAGGAAAAGCACAGGTGTAAAAGTTATGGTAAACCATAGCAGAATTCATTTACCTGCTCTGGGCCCTTTATTGCGACTTAGTCAGTTTACTGAGACACATGAATAGAAGAACGGAAATTGGGTTCATGCTCCACTAAAACAACCGCTGACATGCTGTTTAAGATGATCTTTATTCCCTAAACTCGGGGACCTGTTTTGGGTCTAAGTATACTTTTAAGACCCATTATTTAACTTGTGTTCTTATATTCTGTGTATTTCTAAAGTAATTGTGGTTGATCACGCATTGCATAAAGAATTGGAGGAACACTGGTTAATAGAGACCTGCCTGCTCATTTTTGCCCTATGGCCCACTGAGTTTAATATGGTTATACATTTCCAAAAAACTTGACTCTTGCCAATTAAGGGTCGAATTTAGTTTTGTCCTTCAAAATTATTTTTACTAGACCAAGTAAGTTAGTAACTGAAGCTGTGAGATTAATGAAGCTGAATAAAAGGTATTCTGTTCATTAGATATGTAAAACACTTTAAACATTTCACTCACTACTTTATATGAAACGCAATGCACCGACTTACACAGCACGTGTCACTGTTTAAAGGTTAATAACGGAGACACCGCCTGGGGCGCTGTCGTGGATACTACAGGGTTTTGTGCTGAGACGTGAAGGTGAAAGGTCAGCCTGTGTCACGTGTCATTGGGCTGTCACCTCACCGGTGCCACTCCACCCGACCGGCTGTTGCCGTTACACACGTTGGTACCCGAGCAGACCTCAACGCTATCCAAGTGAAAAATGGCCAAAAAGCGGAAGGAAAGACGAGAGAACGACGGTTTGCCCTCGACACAAGAGGTGAAGGCGAATGCTGGTGCCTCGGAAGCACTGAAAGGTGGGTCCTGGTTCCGGTTCTGTGGTGGATAACTGTTAACATGAATGTAGAGCAAAAGCGGAGGAAAGGAAATCCTTCCAACGTACATATACATATATTGAGCAATATAACGACTTTGCGGTCAAGCGGATTGCAGAACCGGAGCTAACGTAAAGCTAACGTTGGCCGAAAACTAGCCGACTACGACTCCGGTGGCTAACGCTACATAGCTAGTTAATGAAGATTATAACGCTGTCCCGTTAGTGTTACGTTAGCTAACCTACACACCAAGCCATGTTGATGAGCCTTAGTACGGGGCTGAATGTGATTAAGTTGTCACGAATATTAAAATGAGAGTAAAAATCTATTGTTGTGAGCTAGGCTAAGGTTAGATGTCTAATTAACAAAGACCGTCCAACGAGCCGTGGTCTCGTCTTTACGTTACTCAGCAACAATACATCACTGTGAAGAAAATGTTACTTAGGTTAAAGTACGTTTTCTCAGATGTACTGAAAGAATCATAAATGAATGTACTCTGTGCTGAAAAGTAGCCCCTTTGATTGTTATACGAATATGAATTATTTTGTACATTTGCTGTTCTAATTATTCTTATTATTATTATTATGTCTGCTGCATTAATGTGTAAGAAGCATTTTACTGTTGTAGTTGCTCGAGGTGGAGCTAATTTGAACCATTTTCTATACTGTTGCATAGTTTAATCTATAACAACGCACCACATTTGATAAATTAACTGTTATGTGTTTAATATCCTAATTTGTTTTGTAACTACAGCTGTCGATAAATATAGTGGAGTTAAAAGTACAATTTCGCCCCTCTGAAATGTTGTGTAATAGAAGTGTTATGCTGCATGAAAAGGAAGTACTCTATTAAAGGAGAAGTCCCTAAAAACTGTACTGAAGTACAATCTTATGCAAATTAGTTACATTCCACCAGGCGCGCATGCAGAAAACCAGAACGTGTACACCCTTTTTTCAGACGGAAGGTCGTGAAGTAATAAGAAATAAATCAAATAAAAAACATTTCCCAAACCCTGAAACCAGGATTTCAAAAGGGAAGTACTTAGTTGCTGATCAGATTACACTATTACAAAATTATGCGAAATTGTCCTAATAACAAAACGCAACATATTTGTGTGTTAATAACATGAAAACAATAATTTCCATAATTGTGTCCGTCCACATAAATCACCACATAAGCATTTTTTTTTACTTTGACTTGTAATTGATTTCATCAGTTTCACAACTGTCGCTTGTTCTTTGAAACCCAAAGTCTGGAGGAATACGAATGTCTTGTTTTCAAAGATCTGTATTAAGTTTCCCTCGTTCATCTCTCAATTACATTTCCAGAGTCCTGTAGTTGGTTAAAAAACAACTAAACACCCTAATTTCCTTTAACACGACGCGTCATTCTGACACATGAACTTAACCGTTGCTACCGTAGAGCATGATTTAACAGACCAGCTCAGAAACAGCAGGAGTCTGTCTCAAGGGGGGAGTTCACTTCCCTGTAGGGGCTTGAACAAGTGACGCAAAACTAATGAGCAGATTACACAGGGCTCCCTGGTAGCTAGTTCGTCTGTTTTTTTTAGAGTAACTTCTTGATTTCTTTGTTAAATAAGTTCTATTTCCCCAACAGAGGCTCAGCACACTGAAGGCGGCTCTGCACGCATGTCTCTCCTGATTCTGCTTTCTATCTTCACCTTCGCGGCCTCAGTCATGTACCTGGTCTACAGGAACTTCCCAGAGCTTCCTGAGTAAGTTATCTCCCCCACCCACCCACATGTTACCAAATGTAATCATCCACAGAGCCATGTTCATTACCCTTAAAATCTAAGATGCATTTTTGAGCAGTCACAAAACGATTTGCTCATAGTGCAGTGGATTTGTAAGTGTGGTAATGAAGCTGTGACTCTCATGATTACCAAAATGTATTCCGTGCTGCTGCTTCCCAAGTGGGGATATATTACTTTAACTAAAACTAAACTTAGCTGACTGAGTGGTAATGATAGACATAGAAGAGTAAATAGGATGTCATAAATAGTTAAATTCAAAAACAATGTTGAAGTGTAACAGTTTCTGATTTGCTTATAGTTTTGTACTCAATGCATGTCATTATTGTATTGATGTTTCTGATCAAGGTAAAAGTAGGGGCTGTTTTAACACCCTTTAGTACTACACAGGGTAACACATTAGTAACAAACGCATGTACTTAGAGACATTACAGGAGAAGATAATACCAGGTAATATGAAGGCTAAAATATAGACACATGCCAGAAAATATCATACAAATTTGTACTGATTTATCTGTAGAATTTTTAAAAAGCTTAAACCTTTTTAGTTGTCAGCCTTGAGTTAGAATACCTGATGTCCTTCATTCTGAGGACCTGAGGCTCATGGTTGTACCAATGTAATGTCAGTAAAAAGTAAATGATTTAGGTAAATCCTGAAGTTAACAGGTCGCCTAACAAAGAGCCCAGTCACAGTGTCGGGTCTACATAATGTTGTTGTTGCGCTCGAGGTGTGGAGTAGTGTGAGTCGAGCGAGTGAAGACAAGCTGAGGCAGGTAAAGGTAACACTCGTGGTCGGGTGACGTTTCCTTAGTTTGCAGGAGTTGCCTGATTTCGGCAGTATTTCTATGTCAAGAGAAGATCAAACCGAGCTACTCATTTTGACATGATGCTCAAAATCCAGAGGTGGCGTAAGCATTTTGAGCATTCAAGTTTTGGTATGCATTGTACTGTGATGAAAACAAACAGAATATGTTTGTGAGAAATATGTAATGACTGAAGTTTTTTTTTTTGTTTTTTTTTCCCAGTGATGAAATGGAGAAAATCAAGATCCCTAAAGACATGGATGATGCCAAAGCTTTGGGAACCGTGCTGTCCAAATACAAAGACACGTACTACTCCCAAGTGTTGGTGGCCTACTTTGCGACATATGTTTTGTATCCTTGGATATCTATCTACCTGCCCATCTTAGCCTAGCTTCCTACTGGGCTGTGTCTTCAGAACTGCCTTGCTGGAATTCAGGTCTTTAAAGAATGTATGGATCGAAGTGAGAACAACAATTTAGTGAACTTGTTGATAACTGGGGTCAGGCCTCTGAATCTGCTCAAACAATTCAACACAACAGAACCATGGCACCCAGCCATGTCTTGTTTCATGTAAAGACACGTATTGGATCATTGGCTGGGATGTGTAGACAGTCAGTTCTAAAGCAACTCACATTTTAAGAGAAAGATTTTCAGTTCAGTTGACCTTTCCATCAGGAATAGTGTAGAACTAGCTGGAGACGTGCTCAACATTTCAGGAAAATACTGTTTTCTATCCTTTTGTGCATTTCTTTCTCCCGTAACATTGACCGCTTCAAATCACATATTCTACAGAAAGACCAGCAGGCTAGAGGGCTCGGAGGAATATATGCTTTTGATGTATTTATTGTTATTTGTCTGTTACTATTGTTAATTGATCTTGTTTTTGCAAAGTGGGTTACCTTAACGCTTTTGTCAGCCTGCAGACATTTGCAATCCCTGGATCCATCTTCCTCAGCATCCTGTCTGGATACCTTTACCCGTTCCCCTTGGCTCTGTTCTTAGTCTGCTTGGTGAGTGAGGAAGGCCGGTATCAAATGTGTGATTCAAAACAAATGCTGTATTTTGTATGATGAGCAACTGTGCACTGGAATAGTAACATGCTCTCTTTTACATTAATGCGTCATGCCTCTTAAATATCCATTTTTAATATCCATTTCAATGAAGTCATAATTGAATCTGGCAGGCGTTGGTACGGACAACACTGTAAAGATACGGCCCCCTCTATCCTTAGTCAGTTGTGGCCACTCTATTACTATTTTTCAGTTCAATTTCTAGAGTGACAATGATTTTAGGCAAGGTGTGTGCGTGTGCGATTGGAAGTAACCAATGTTTCCTTGCTGTGTGTGTTTTCTGTTGGCAGTGCTCTGGCCTTGGTGCTTCCTTCTGCTATATGCTGTCATATCTGGTGGGCAGACCCATTGTCTACAAATACCTCACAGAGAGAGCACACAAATGGTCCCAGCAGGTAAAAGCCGAATAACTGAGTTTGTACTTTGAATAGAAGGTGTATTCGTTTGAGCAATTTTGTGTTTTCTGTTTGTTCACACTGCATGAATGCTGTTAATTCAGCTTTAAGTGGAATTCTGAAACGCTGAAGTTGGATTTACCAAAAATAAATACTGGTATTGCAAAATGGTATAACTGTTACTGAAATAACCATTACGACAAAAGTGCTCATATTGTTAATATCAACTGATCCTTGTAAAATCCTCAGGTGGGAACTGCTGGTAATCAGGTTACTCACTGACATTCTGCTCATGACTCTTTGCTGGCAGATTGAAAAACATCGAGATCATTTAATCAATTACATCATCTTCCTGAGGATAACCCCCTTTCTTCCCAACTGGTTCATCAACATCACCTCACCGGTCATCAATGTGCCTTTGGGGGTTTTCTTCATCGGTACCTTTCTTGGTAAGACTTGTCTCCTTCTTCTGACTGTCTGTACTATATTTTGGTATTGTTTGTTGTCGTTGACTCACCTGTAACCTGGCTTACTCACAGGAGTGGCCCCGCCATCCTTTGTAGCGATCAACGCGGGGACAACACTGTACAAACTGACCACAGCTGGCGAGGCCGTGTCCTGGAACTCTCTGGCTGTGCTCGGTGTACTTGCTGTGCTCTCCATCTTGCCTGTGTGCTTCCAGAAAAAGCTGCAGAAGAAACTAGCGTAGAACATGAAACACCTCAGCACCTCATCTGCTGGCTGATCCCCGGCGTCACCTCCCCCCCCTCGGCTCAGGAACATGAAGCTGTCATTCAAGTTGCTGAGGGGGGGGGGGGGGGGGGGGTTCCTGGTGTTACGTGTAAACTGGCCGCTGCTTGCACAACTTTTTTGGTTTCTGTGAATATTGTTGTGTTTGTGGCACATCTTTTAAATAAGATAAATTAGATTTTTGTTTTTGTTGAAGGCTCTGCTCATTATTTGATGCCAGATAATTAAAGGTGCTACTTGTGGGATGTTGGCGTAAAACTCGTAATTCTGGTTTCTCTTTTCTTGCTAGAAATTGGGGAAAAAACCCGATGTAATCAGTACCCTGTTGAGGCTGGTGCAAACATCTGTCTGTTTTTCTGACTGGAATCACTTTTGCTATTACATTTGTTTTGTCAAAAGCGTATGAATTTCCTGCATCCTCTTTGTAGCATCTTTAACTTCCACTCTCTTTTTGATATTTATTTTAACATGCTCGTGTCCAATTTCAACCTAATGACGTGTACCACCACAGCAATAACTGTCACACACATTTTGAAAGTGGATTTTAGTTTTTAAAAAGTAGTGATACCGGTGCTTGCCTTTGGCAAACATGTGCAATGAGGAAAGAATGAAACTGGAGAAGAAACGTGTGATGGTTGATCTTGTTGACATGAGGGTGAGTTCCTGTGTTCTTCCTTTGGAAGGTGCTCCACACACATTTTCAGCAGTTCCTCTTCACATTAGCAGCCATCGTAACTTGTAGAGAAGCTGATGTAATATTTCCTAACCAGGATGCCGAACTCCAAAAGATTCCCTATTTGTAATGAAGAAGTGAACAAAGACTGTCAACACAGCTGATTTATGTGGACTAAGATGTAAGCAACCCAGAAAAGCCAAACGGAATCATCTTGGTTTGTAAATCTGAAAAATCACGGATGAGATGGGTTCTCAAGGTTTGCATAAGTTAATGTGTGTTCATCTCCACCCAATAATGTTTGCCATGCCAGTATGGAAATGTGAGCTGCTGTCCATACTCTGGATGATACACCAATGTTCTCAATAAGACTAACGGGCTGAGGTTTCGATGTCTTACCCAGCTTTTTACCGCTTCCATTCTTCGCCAGGTGAACTGTATTATGAGGCCTGATTTATGTTATTTGTGTTCTTTAATTGTTCTTCGAATGGCGATTGTTGTGTCCTGTGCAATGAAAGCAAGTTGTTTTTGTTTTTTTTGCCGGTTTACCAAGGTAACTTATTTCTGCTGCTTAGAAATGCTCTGGATGGTTGATGCAGTGAATGTACATGCAGGTAACTTAATCGATTTCTTTAATCTCTTAAAAATATCATATTCATAGAAGCAGTTGGTTTGGTGTATTTCCTGTTTTTACTTCAATGTCAGATTTACTGTGTACTACTGTGAGATTATTAACCGCTCAAACAGATACTTAAACATCAATTTATGTGAAACTGAACTGGTTGTGTATGAGCACACCGATGTCTTAGCATGTTCTCCTGTCATAGATTTATCTGAGGGGTGTGTTTGTACAATTGAGGTACATCGTCTTGGAAAATGCATCTTCACTAAGGCGTTTAAATCGAATGGTAAATGCTATAAATTTCTCCAACAATCTTATTTTTTCTCTCAATACTTAAACAGGAGCGTGATTAACTTCTTTGAAGTTGTCCACAATGCTGAATTTGACAAGACATTGAAGATGCTAGATTTTAATGATTTTTCTCTATTTTGTACAATATTTAAATCTAATCCTATTCTAAACTTCATCCGACACATATAGTCAAATTGGAAATATTGTTTTTTTGTCCTATTAAAGATATAGTAAGATAAATGTGTAACCCTCTCACATTTCAAAAAGTATTATTTTGTTCTGAGAAGTGATTTATTGCAATATGAAGTGTTTGCAGATTGCACATTTCTGTCCTATCATCAAATCTATGTTCTTTTATATTTATTGAATTATTAAAATAATCTTTACAGAATATAATTGAGTTTTAAGAGTTCTGTAAAAGAGTGCGTGTTTGATCATGCTGCAGCATGGAACTATCAAAAATAGCCTTTGTCGAGGCGAAACTACACACGATGAACGCGCTATTTCTAGGATTCTTTCAATCTTGGAGTTTCACAGTAATTATGTAATAAGCTTGAAGATAAACTGGGCTCTCTCGCTTTGTAGGAGCAACAGAACCTGCAGCAAACTTCAACGGCATTTGTCTCTATAGCCCAAAGAAAACGATTCAAACTGGCATTTCAGTGTGTTTATGAATCCACAAACAGATCATAATGTACTCTTCATTTCAAGTCTGACAGAACAAGAGTGAGGTTTAGTGCCACCAGGTGGTACTATTGTAACATACCTGCTAAGCGGGGACACTCTGTAACTGTGACATTCCCCCTTTTACCAACATAAGATGCATCAATCAGGGGAATTTTACATGTAATTTGATATTTTATAGACAAATGGGTTGACTAATAGTGAAACCATTGTATATATGGTTTCACTATTGCATATGTATATATATATACATATATATGTATATACAGTTGTGTGAAAAAGTGTTATACATATATACATATACATACATATACATATATACATATATATATACATATACATATATATATA